TGAAGGTTCGAAATACCAGCTGCACACAGAGGCCAGCCAGGAAGTAGATAAACATATCTCCCAACGACATGGGCCCAGCAGGTCATACGTGCATAAGGTGTCTCCACAAAGGATTGCAGCGGTTTCTTCCGCAGTGCTTAGGGGCCTGGGTGGAGGGAAGGGTAGGTAGATAGACCCTGCGTTGAGGGTTGATAGAGCGAATCTGCTGGATTATTAGAAGTGATCAACAAGGGATGTGATGTCCAAGCCAGGCAGGAATGGGAGAAAGAAGGCCACTAATATTTATTAACTGTTCCATCCAACAAATATGTTGAGCACCTCCTGTGTGCCAGGCACTGGTTTAGATGCTGGGAATATAGAGGACAACAAAAGATAAATTCCAGCCCTCATGGAGCTTACAGTGGCTAGAGTCAGACATTAAGCAAATAAGTAACTAAATACACAGTTCTTCAGAGGTGCTAGTTGTCATGGAGAAAAATTAAGCAGGGAAGAGGAGTAGGAATTCCTGGGGGGCAGGAGGTGGTCACAGAAGACCTCTTTGAGATGGTGACATTTGATCAAAGACTGAGGCAGAGGAAACGTCGAATGCAAAGGCCCTGAGGCAGGGGTAGGCTTGGCAGTATCTGAGAAACACAAGGAGGCCAGTGGGGAGGAAACAGTGGGAGACCTTAGAGGGTGACAAGGTAGAAGGAGGAATTGGCTGGCTTCTAGAGGAACAGTGGTGCTGTTATCAAAATAGCGCATTCAAGAGTGGAAGTCAGTCTGAGGTGAAAGATGGAGGGTGTGACTTGGACAAACGGAGGCTGAAGTGCCAGTAGGAAACAGTGGGAACGTCCACTGGTCCAGACAGAAGGGCTCAAGAGAAGGGGACCTGGCATCCCCCCACTGTGGTGAGGGTTGAAGTTAGAGATGGATGTGTTCTCAGAGACAGCAGAGAGGGGCCGAGGGGAGAACCTGGAAATGTTCCTCCATATGTTACAGGAGGGAATGGGGACAAAAATTCACTTCTTCGGGAGATAGAAATGTTTAAAATTTTACCTTTATGAACTTGGACAGAGAAAAGTTGTGAACATCAATTCTGCCATTTCTGTCCCAGATTAAAAAGGAGGATTTGGCTAGCACAATACAGTATAGTGAGTGTCACCTAACCTCCTCCAGGATGTTGATTTCTCCAAGTGTATAAAGCTTGTGCCACCTCTGGGCTGAGCTGGACACACTTGGGGAAATGGAATCAAGCCCAGTGGCCACTCCCAGGGGAGCAGACTTATTTCTTCCTATATGAATCCTGGGAGACCAAACGTTGGTTTCAGCTATATTGTTCACATATCTTTACCTTTACCTGATAGACTTACCTTTACTTTGAATTACACCCATTTTTACACTTGCGAAGTAACCCTCCCCACCTTTTTTCTGAAAGTAAAACAGCTTAGAGAGATTGTCTTTTATCCTTATCAGGGTCCATTTAGATAGAGTGGCTTATTTTGCAACAGTATTGTTTACAGTTTTACAGGTAGGCCAGTGCTTCTTTTCACGTGGCTAAAAACTTTTTTTAAAAGCAAGAATCTTAGGGCCGGCCCGTGGCTCACTTGGGAGAGTGTGGTGCTGATAACACCAAGTCAAGGGTTGTGGCTAAAAACTTTTTTTAAAAGCAAGAATCTTAGGGCCGGCCCGTGGCTCACTTGGGAGAGCGTGGTGCTGATAACACCAAGTCAAGGGTTGGGATCCCCTTACCGGTCATCTTTTTTTTTTTTTTTTTTTAAAAAAAAAAGCACAAAGCTTGTCTCATGTTAGTTCTCATTATTAAATTAGAAAAAAAGCCACTTTTTTACATTGATCTTTCATTGTAATTTGTAGGTGACGTTTTTTGTGTTTACTTTGCTGGCTTTCCACAGACTTTTATCTTTAACCTTTTTTAATATGGACAATTTCAAGCATATGTACAGAGAATGGTGAAATGACTCCCCTCTCATTACCACTTCCCGTTTTCCATCTTTAACAGTTACCAGTAGTGTGCCACTTTTGTTTTATCTGCCCCCCTGTGCAACTATTTTCTGTAGTATTTTAAAGCAAATCCTGGATTCAAATGATTCTTTATGAAGAAAAAAATATATATCTACAGAATAGGTCATTGTTACAGAGGCCGAGCAGCAGTTTGCTTGCCCCTGTCAGAGCTGTCTTAATAGTTGTGCTTTTGCACAGCCTACGACTGTGCAGGAGCTTATTATCTTACTGAAGGGAATGCTAAGATGATCATAAGGTTCTCCTACTGAAATTATCTCCTCCTAAGCCAAGGAAAAAAAGCATGGTTCTTAAGCACCAGCGTAGCTAGGAACCCTTCCCAGGAATCCTTCCCTGTGTCCTTAACTGGACCCTTTCTGGCGCAGGGCACATCTCGAACCTGATGCCTGAGTGTCAGGTAACCATGGATAATAGAAAACTCCGGAAACTGCATCTGAGGATGAGTCCATGAGACTGAGCAAACACTATACAGCAAAGATCAGGTTGTGAACAGGAATTTAACTCATGTTGGTCTCCTTGTCTTGTTTCTGGTGAATTCCTAGAATTTGGCAGTGTCCTCTTAATCTGCGTTTATCCATGGTACCTTTAAGTGGTGTAAACAACAAAAAAGACACCTTTCTGACTGCTGTGTTTTCTTTGGAATATGACATTCTTGCTTTTCCTGGCTTGCTTGGCTTCAGGGCTGCTTTGAGGTAACTGCACCCTGACTAGCTCGTTTTATGAGTGTCATGTACCTTTATTTCCTGTCTCTTGCATCAGTCTGTTTGTGAGAGTGTACGGAGAGTTGATTAATGGGAAAGATAAACATATGCTTACTGACTGAAAGTTCTTCCTGTTTCCTAAAGTTTTTTTGGTTTAGCGAATTGTTTGTTTCCTGCCCACAGACCACATATGGTGTGTGTGCTCCGTTGTGCACAGCGTATGCCTTTGTGTGGGAGCTGGGCTTTGACAGCAAAGGCAACGTGTAAGGCATGAAGGACTTTCCTTCATCTGAGAATCCCAAGTGACCAGGAGGATTGGACGGCTGTCTGTCACTATAAGCAGAGCCCACAGAGTCTGGAATTCTGCATACAAAATCTTATTAGGATATTTGCCATCCTTGTCCCCGGCTCTGAAGTTGTGTGCATCGTGGCTGCATAGCCTGGAGGGGTTTGAATGCTGGAAATGCCTCATCACTGTGCGGTCTCATGCCTGTGGGTTTCAGATCTCTTAGGGCACAGTGCTGCCATGCCCGTGTTCATATCCTCTTACCTCTGCTCCATCTGCCCCAAGGAATCAGGAGCATCCTCTCGATTTGTTTCCAGGAGAGTCTAGGGAGGGAGAAATTCTGCTGTTTTTTGCTGCTGCAAATATAAAATTGAATTTGAGAAAAAACTTCTTTTCCATCTAAAAAAGTAATACCTGTTCTCATAGAAATTTTGAGAAATATAGAAAAGGTAGGAGGAGTTGCTTATATTTCCAACAAAGATAACTTACAATTAGCACTTTTGGTCTTTCCATCTAGTTTTTTCTATGTGCATTGAAGGTTTCCTCCATAGTTGCATTAATATGCTGTGGACAGTGTTGTCTTTTTTCCTGAACATAATAGCATGAAGATTTGTACATGTTTTAAAACTTTATTAGTCCTTTTAGAAACCTTAATATTCTGCCAAGTAGACATTTCTAATATGCTGTGGACAGTGTTGTCTTTTTTCCTGAACATAATAGCATGAAGATTTGCACATGTTTTAAAACTTTATTAGTCCTTTTAGAAACCTTAATATTCTGCCAAGTAGACATTTCATAATTTAACCATATTATTGAATATTAGGTCCTTTGTGATGCTATTGTGAGCGTCTTTATCCAAAAAAATTTTTTTCTATTTTATATTATTTTTAAACTAGATTTTCTAGAAATACAATTAATGGATCAAAGGGAATCAAAAGGAATGAACACTTGAAGGCTCTAGGATTGCTACCTTTATTGTGAGCGTCTTTATCCAAAAAAATTTTTTTCTATTTTATATTATTTTTAAACTAGATTTTCTAGAAATGCAATTAATGGATCAAAGGGAATCAAAAGGAATGAACACTTGAAGGCTCTAGGATTGCTACCTGCTGCTCTAAAAGGGTATATCCATTTACCATCCAGTCCAAATTGATTCTTAAGCCACAGTTTTGCTTTTCCTAATGAGAATATCTGATACTACTGCAGGTATCTGTCGAGGTAATGATTTAGGTTTTAGAAGTCCTCGATGTGTCAGACAGTGACGCTGTGACCCCCTTGTCTACTGTGGGTTGTGACTGGTTCTTCCTTCTGTGTCCATCCCCCAAGTTATATGTAGGTTTCTTGACAGCAGTTCTAGTCTGGTCTCAGTTCTCCATTAAATCTCAGTAACAAACTTAAGAGCTTACATCTGTGTCTTTGTGTGTGTGTGTTTTCTAAAGTGCCTTCATATACATTATCTCTTGTAAGTAAATCTATGTTATCAGTACAACTTGTAACTTTGTCTTGGGAAGCCCTTGATGTTTCAGTCTGTCTGATGATGCCTTTGTTGTTGTTCTTTTGCACAGATCCAGTCCTGCAGGTCCCAACACATGTGGAAGAGTAAGTTTTCGGATTTGTTCCAGTACTTCTCTTTAATTCATTGTCTTATTCAATCAGTATTTATGAGGCCAGTTGCTGGGAGGACATATATGCATAAGTTTAAGGTATAACAAGAATGAGTAGGACACGTAAAGTCTTGCAGGTGCTATGGTGGAAGCCTGTGTCAGGGAGGGGTGCTCAGTTCCTTCAAGGAGGAAGGCAGTGGTATTAAAAAGGCTTATTTAAGGTGAAACTTAGATCTTTCCCTTTTCGCTGTGTCAAACTATGGAGAGGAAAGGCGAACGTGACCTGCTACTGGAGCATGTGTGTTAGAGTCAAAATCGGATGTCACCTGTAAGAGCCTCAAGTGAAGGTACATCCTAAATAGAGAAAAGATTCAGCAAAGGCTATAGATTATTTGTATTGTCCTTGATCTTTGCTAATATAGATGCTTGAGAGAAGACCGTTACGATTTTTATACTTCATACAAACCTATGCAAAATTTTTGTGTAAATTGTACATTTATTAATAAAATTCACTTATGTGCACAGAGAACACTTTAATTAAAGTCCCTGTAAAGTGATTCATTTGATAAAGAAAAATTTTTGAAAGGAAAATGATAGCTTTTTGTAAGAATACTTTTTTATGTGATATGCCCTTCCCAGTTTATCTTAAATGTGTATTTTTATACGCTGTCTAGTGGAAAAGACAGTACATTTGTTAACAATCTCAACAGATTTGTTGATTTCTGAAATTATGCAATTAATTTTTTTTAAAGTTCGATATTGATGTGTTTAGTCATGCAAGTGCCACTATTAAGTAAACTTCTTATGGTTCTATTTCCCCTTGTATTCTTTTTAAATAAAACTTAAAATAAAAAGAATTAAAAAATAAGACTCAGCAAGGGGTCTCTGAGTGACTCCAGTTATAGTTCCATCTTTCTTAGATTAACTTTACAAAAGACCCCCTCGCATCTGCTTCACGGGAAGCCGCTGACAGGGACCTTGATCGTCTTCTTGGCAGGTTCTCTCTGATGTCAAGCCTTCAGAGTCTGCTTTTATTGCCTCCAGTTAAAAAATAAATGTTTGTTGAAAACTAAAAGATTTGTTCTACCTGTTTATGTACTGTGCTATTGAATATTAACTGCAGAAGTTCTATACACAATTGATGCGGAAATTGAAAAGTAGACTTTCTAGGTTCTTTTTACTTCTTTTACCTTCACCTAGAGTGCTTTGACCAAATGATGATTTACTCTTCTGTGGTTTCGTAGGGTTTTTCCTTTGCAAGTTACTTGTCTCCACTTAAGTACAGTATACACCACGATACGGGTACTGTGTTTATCTGTGGCTGACGTGAGTGAGCAGCGGGTGGAATTGTCATATACACACACTCCCCAAGATCCCCCCCATATGGCTTCGCATGGCTTTGGTATTTTGTTCTGTGTCCTGGGCTGTAATTTATCATTGATACTTATTATTTAATCTCTAGGCCTGCCTTCCTTCCAGATCCCAATGATGGCAGCCTGTATACGCTTGGAGGCAAGAATAATGAAGGCCTGACAGTGAGTGTATTTAGCTTCTTTGTGTACTTCAGAGGTTCTAGACCAGTGGTTTTTAACTGTGTCTGCACATTGAGATTGGCTGGGGGCTTAAAAAAAAATTTGCGGATTCAGCTTCAGGTGGTCTAGAGTGGGGTCTGGGCACCAATATCTTTTCAGAGCTTCCTAAATGAAAGAGCTTTCAAATGTGCAGCCAGATTTCGGAATCTTTGACCCAGACCAGCAGGTTCTTGTGGCCCAGCCAACACACTGGAAGGATCTAACCTCCCCTTAGTAATAGGGTTTGCACTAACTAGTGACCCCTATCTGGGGAGGGAGAGGTGTAGTTTGAAACACTGTCTCCACCCTCAGACCCCCATCAGATGCCTCCTTAGGGGAGGCATGTGATAGTCCATCCTCATCTCCATTTGAGAATCTAGACCAGTGGTTTTCAACCTTAGCTACACATAGTAATAACCTGGGGAACTCTAAAAAATACTGAGTCTAGGTCCCAGTCCCAGAAGGTCCCAATTTAATTGATCTAAGTCATCAGGATTTTTAAAAAGCTTCCCAGATAAGAGAATTTATAAATAGGCCCACATATACAGTCACCTGATTTATGACAAAGATGACACTGCAGTGCAGTGGGGAAGGATGGTCTTTTCAATAAATGGAATAGATCAATTGGGATATCCATATAGGAAAAAAAATCTTGGCTTCTGCTCCCCACCATACACACAAAAGTCAGTTCCAGATAGGTTATATATCTGAATGTGAAACACAGAATAATAAAGCTTTAGGAAGAAAAGTAGTGGAACATCTTCGTGACTTTGGAGTAGGTAAAGATTTCTTAAATAGGATACAAAAAAATAAGTTAACCATAAATTTAGGAAAAAGTTGATATATTGATCATATTAAAATTAAGAACTTTTCTTCATTGGGAGAGGCAGCCATAAAGTATTTGCAGTGTACATACATATTTGCAGTGCATATGCATCAAGGGATTCATATTTAGAATATATGAAAAACTCCTATGGATCATTAACAGAAGACAATCCAATAGAAAAATGGCAGAAGAGGATATCCAAATGGTCAACATTGAAGAGGTACTCAGCTTTATTAGTCATTAGGGAAACACAGAATAAAATCACAGTGCCATACTACTATCCGGTATGTCACACCACTACTTACCTGAATCGCTAAAATGAGAAAAATAGAAAAAGAAAATATGTTGTTGGGGATATGGAGCAACTGGAACTCTCACGCACTGCTGGTGAAAGTGAAGTTTGGTACAACTGGTTTGGAAAACTGTTTGGCAGTATGTGCTAAAGTCCTTATGACCCCAGTGCCTTCCCAGGTTCTATACCCAACATAAATACATGTATGTATTCACCAAAAGGCATATACCCAAATGTACTGAAGCACTATTTACAGTAACCAAAAAGTAGAAACTAACCAAATAGCATCAGCAGTAGAATGGATAAGTAAATGATGGAATAGTCACAAAGTGGAATACGCCACAGCAATGAGAACTAACAGTCTGTGACTCTACACAACATGGGTGAAACTCATGAATGTAATGTTGAGCAAAACATGAAACAAAAAAGGCTACACACCGAATGATTCATTTAAATAAAGCTCAAAAGCAGGAAAAACTAGTCTATGCTGTTTTGAGGTTAGGATAATAGTTACTTTGGAGAGTTAGGGCTAGAAAGGGGGCCAAGAGAGGCCTTCAGAGTGCTGGAAATGTTTCTTCGCCTGGATGCTGGTGACTCGGGTGTTCACATTGCAAACATTAACTGAGCTGTGTGATTACGAGTGCTTTTTGGTTTGTATATTACCCTTCACTAGACAGTTTTAAAAGCCTCCAAGTGATTCTAATGTGCAGTCAAGGATGAGAACCACCAGTGTGGACACAAAGTGGATTGTGAGCTCTTATTTGGGTATTTTAAAATTATGTTATGAAGGGCCGGCCCGGTGGCGCACTGCTACAATGCGCCGCTTGGGAAGCGCGGCGGCGCTCCCGCCGAGGGTTCGG